CTTTTAACGTGAGGGGGAAAAAAGTATTTAATTTGTTTTTAATAACATTTAACCACACCACTTTTATTTTTCAAATATTTTTTGGTAAAATTTGTACACCAATTTTTATTTTTCAATATTATTTTAACCACTTTGATTAACCACACCGCTTTTTTTCATATATTTTTTTGTAAAAAAATCGTAAACCAATTTTTATTGTTCAATATTATTTTAACCACTTTGAAAAAATTTTTATTGATATTATGTGTAAATAAAATTAATGTATTTACATTGATAGCAAATATTTCTAAACCTTAATTATAAATTCACTATTTATATTTGCTATCAATATAAACGCAATTTTAAAATATAATATTTATATCTTTTCCACCGTTATTAAATTTCTTCTTTTACAAATATTTGCAATTTTTTTCGTGCCTTTTAAATAATTTTATTTTATTGCCTTCTTTTTCAGCAATTTTTTAGCATTTATATTAATAGCGTTATTAATTTTAATATCAACAATTCGCTAATTATTTTTTTAAGGATTTTTTTTTTAATTAGAGAATTGTTGTATTAAATTCTTTACATAATATGTAATGTTTTTTACTTAAATAAATTTTAATTATTTTATTTTTTTAAATTATTACTAGACAGTAAAAAGTTTAGGTACCAGATTATAGAGTTAAAGATTTATTGTCGTCTCCATATCTTCGTGTAAATAAAAAAAAATCTTCCTTACATAAGCTTTTATATTGGCCTGGCATACATTTATTCGTTTCCAACTATCTATAACTGCGCATGCTAAAATTTGTTTTAAAAAAATAGACTTGTTTTAAATTTAGATTGAAAATATGAGAAACTACTTTGTTATTGAAAGAATAGAGCCATTCGCCTCCCAATCACGAAATACTCGTGGTGAGATCGCCCACATCAGATTTAATAATCTGGCAGATCATCCCCGACCAGATTTGGCTCTAACAACACTTATTGAACAACTTTTGGATCGGGTGCTCACCGGAAGACCAGCGCCTCTCCGCGTTGGTCTTCAGGTGCAACCACCAAATTTCCACCACCCATTTACAGTGCCACTCCGGCCATTAGAACAAAATAATGCAGCAGCATTAGCCGCAGCTATAGAGAGGTTGAACGAAATATCCCAGGCCGGGATAGACCTTCTCTCAGGAACAACAACAACAAAAGTTGTAGCTGTATGGCCTTTAACTGGGCAGCGCACTAATAATCCAGCATCACATTCGGGTAGGTTCATACTAGTCTTACATTTCTCAAATAAATGTAAGGCAGTCATGTTCCTACAGGTAGCTGCGATATGGACCAAGAACATGTAGTGTCTTCTCGATGTCGTTCAATTGTGCGCGTCCACAATCCAAACGACCGCTACTGTCTTGCTCGTGCAGTAGTGATTGGACTTACAAAAATTCGACTTGTTGATCAAGGCGATGCTAATAATGGAGCAGCTCATTTTAGAGCTTTTTGCCAACAACAAGAACAACATTTAATTTTTTTAAACTACTTAATGAATAAAGCCGGACTTCCATATGGATTACAGGTATTATTTACTTACATTTTTTTAGATTTACGTAATATAGGAATATTCGCTTGAACATGTAGCGATTCTCCAACGATGGCTGAATCAATATTATGGAGAAGGGCACACTCGTATTGTTGTTTTCCAAAAAGAGCAACAGTATCGGATTGTGTTTAAAGGAGTGGGAAGAGCAGCACGTTACAATTTATGTCTGCTCTTGGAGAATCGTCACTACAACTACATTGGTCGCCCTGAACAACTTTTGGGAGTCAAACGTTATTGTATTGACTGTGAACGATCAGTGACACGTTGGAGTCATTGGGCTGGGTGCACTGTAGTTTGTAGATTTTGCATGCGGTCAGGTCCCGAATTTCCATGTCAAGTAATATCTAAATTAAATTGTAAATTTTTTTATCGTTATTTATTAGGAAGAAGAAAGAATCCCTTGTCAAAACTGTGGATTCATTTTTCCACGCCGATCATGTTATGACTACCATCTAGTCAATTCTGCTCCTCTAGAAATGGTTCGACGCGATACACGTAATTTTGCATCCATTTGCCAAATGCGTCGTATTTGCTCGAATTGCCATCTCATAATTTATGCTCAACAAGCACACGAATGCCAACAACAACGGCAACAACCTCAAATAAATTGTAAAATGTGTAATGGCCCTCACACAGAGTACCAGCCATGTTTTATTCAGCCATTAAAACCTGATGAGGATGAACAAGATAATAATGAAAATAATAATGAACAACAAAAGCAACAAAGAACAAGAAATCATCGACAACCAATTCGTCTTTGTTTTTTTGATGCTGAAACAAGTCAGGATGAACCTGTACAAATAAGCCAAAATATCAATGGCTACAGGCATGTACCTCTTCTGATTATTGCCGAGGTTAATTTTTTAAATTAAATTTAAATATATTTTTGTTTATAGGTTATTTGTGAAGTCTGTATACGGGCTAATATTCGTATTGAAGATGTTGGTCAACGTGCTCAGGGATGTTTTTGTGGGACTCCAAGAGGAGAACGATGGCGTAATTGGTGTTCCCCACCGTTCAGAAATGCTCCCGGCGACAACACCGCCTTTCCAGATAACATCACTTTCAATCATCGGCGTATGTTTTTCCATTCTTTTGACAACGCTGAAGATAATCCTGTAGACCAATTCTTAGACTACCTACTTAATCACGGTTCACAACATATGCTTACAATCTGCATAGCTCATAATGGAGGAAAATATGATTTTCATCTATTATTGGAAGCTCTACATAGGCGAAGCCACCCGCCAACAAGAATATGCACAACAGGACTCAAAATTTATTCAATGAGTCTTGGAGGGAACAACCAAAGAAAAGTGCTTTTCAAGGACTCGTTAAACTACTTTTTTTGTGAGCTTGACGCACTAACAAAGGTTTTCGCTTTGCCAGAGGATTTGGTTACTGCAAAGCCCTTCTTTCCCTATCTCTTTATTCAACGACAACACCTTCATTATAGGTTAAGAGGGCTCCCTGCAATTCAATATTACCAACCTGAATATAAGAAGGCTGAAAAGAGAGAAAAGCTCATTGAATGGTATACACAACAAACATCCATCCAAACAACAACAACAAACTTCCAGCTTCGCGAACAACTAATTCAGTATTGCGTAAATGATGTAGCGATTCTGCGTGAGAGCGTACTCCGATTTCGACAACTTATTGGAGAAAACACGAAGAATCTAGACCCATTTTTGGCTGTATCAACGGCAGCAGGCCTCGCTTTAACAACAATGCGTCGCTGCTTTTTGCCTGAAAATTGGTTAGTTCACTCGCCTGAAGGAGGTTACTTGAGAGGACGGCGAGCTTCAGCCGAATCACAGCGATACATCCGCTTTTTTGAACTACAACATCCAGAGTCTGTAGGTCAAATTCAACATGCCCAATGGGCAATTGGAGAAGCTCATGTTGAAGACTGCGGGTATAGACTTGATGGCTTATGGCAAAGATCGCCCCCGCTTCGCCCTTTGGCTATTGAATATATGGGGTGCTATTATCACGGTATAATGTTTTAATAAAGCTAATCAATTTTATTATAAAATTTAAGGCTGTCCAGAATGCTTCCCAGTACGTGACCAGCGCTTAGCAGCTGGACGTACAGCAGAAGAACTTTTTGAGAGAACGCAACAACGTTTATGGGAATTAGAGCATCACCATGGATATCAACTTCACGTAGTCTGGGGACATGAAATCAAGGAAAAACTGAGAAACAACACTCAGTTAAGAAAAAAATGGCTCGAAATTGATTGTGTACGGCCAATGGATCCCAGAGAAGATTGCCTTAGAGGGGGAAGGACAGAACCCTTCAAACTTCACCACATGTGTGCTGAAGATGAAGAGATCCTCTACATCGATATTGTATACTTGAATCTAAACTTTAAAGAAACTATAAAAAATTTTTAAGGTAAGTCTCTACCCTTATGTTATGAAGGCAAGATCTTTTCCTATTGGGCATCCAAATGTTTTGACACGTGATACATTGCTTCTTCCTCCAAACAACCCTTTGCCATGGACATCTCCAGAGCATAACATCTATAAGGGTTTGCTTCTTGTTCGTGTTCAACCTCCGAACTTTATGAATGGAAATTTTCCACCAGTGCTACCATACAGAACTCATGATGGGCGACTCACGTTTCCCCTTTGTGCAAAATGTGCTGATAATAGGCAACAACGGCCTTGCACTCATGGAGAACGTGAACGTTCCTGGCTGACTGGTTATACCCATGTGGAGCTTAATTATGCTTTGGAACGTGGATATAAAGTCGTCGACATTTATGAGGTAATATACGAGTTTAATTTGAATTTAATTAATTTGAATTTAACAAATTTAATTTGGTATTTAGGTCTGGAATTATGAAAAATGGGATCCGAATCTATTTCGATCCTATGTGAACACATTCATTGGATTGAAACAACAGGCTAGTGGATGGCCAGATGGTTGTGCCTCGGAGATGGACCGAGCTGACTACCTAGCTGAGTTTGAACGAGTTGAAGGAATCTTCCTCGACCCAGAGAAGATTGAAACAAATCCTGGTTTGCGAATGATTGCGGTGAGTTAACTTAGAAAAAAAAATATTCAAAATAAATTAAATTTTCAGAAATTATTAGCAAACTCGCTCTGGGGAAAACTGGCGCAACGAGTTTGTGGAACTGAAGTTCGATATGCCAAAACACCGGCAGAGTTTCACCAATTGTTAGAAGACCCAACAATTGATATGCTCGACTTTGATCATGTCAGCGAGCATTTGGACCGTTGTGTTGTGAGGAAGAAGCCGGAATTTGCCAAAGCACCAAATACCAACTGCCTTCCAGTAGCAGCGTACGTCACTTCATATGCTCGACTCCATCTATATGAGTATATTGAACAAGTACATCAAATTGGCGGCGTTCTCTTGTACTGCGATACTGACTCCATCATCTATGTCGGAAAGCGTAATGGCCCGCGTGTATCTGAAGGTGAATATCTTGGTCAGATGAAGCGTGAAGTTCCATCACGCCGAATATTGGAATTTATTGCTGGAGGACCGAAAAATTATGGCTACCGACACGTCGACGCAAGTACAGGCTTGGATGAGAGAGCAGAGCTTAAGATTCGGTCATTCCCGCTCTCTTATGCTACTCATCAGCTCCTTAACTTCAACACTATGAAACAACTCGTGTTGAATCAATTCAATGTTGATGGGGCAGTGTGAGTTTATCATCTAATTTAAAGAAAATAAGAAAATACAAAATATATATTCAGTGATGACACGATTGCTGATGATGTCTTTTTCGTTGGTAATTCAATTGGTGTGCAATTCCCTCAAATTGGAAGAACTCGTCGGTCTCAGCTTTACACCCATCTGGCCAGGAAGGAATATAGACCATGTTATGAAAAAGGAAGAATTATGCCTGGAATGGAAACTCTTCCTTTTGGACACAGGAGGAATAATATAGTTATTTAAATTTTCTTAGCTTTTTTTTAATAATATATTATTTACAGACATCAGTAGAACAAAGGCGTCAACAAAAACGATCAAATACAACGACAACACCCCCGACACCAAGCACAAGATCGCGTTTAGATACAAATGTTTTAGATTTGCAAGATTTGCCTGGGTCTTCCGGATGGACAGAAAATGATTATAGAAATAGATACCATTTTTGATTATATTTTTATTAAAATTTATTCTGAATATATTTTGTTAAATAAAAATTATGTTCGTGGAAATTGTTTAATTCTAGGTAAAATATCATTGTTAAAAACATGTTTCATTTCATGAATGGATTTTATTCCCGTTAGTATCACACGTCCTGAGATGTAACATAGGCATGATGCTTCTCCATCTCGTTCTTCCACATTTATTTTGAAACGGAGCGCAGGAAAAATTGTTGGGTCGTAATTGGCTTTAATATTTTGCTGTCGAAGTTGTTTAAATAATTTTTCAATTGCTAGTTTATGTTCATGTTTGTAGGCTCCAACAATATTCGTAACGTAAATATTATTAATTCCAATTTTCTGAACATTTCCTGCAGCATTATTTGAAGCTCTAATACTTTTCACAACTCTCCATGCCGTTTCATTTGCTAATTCTGGAGTAGGCACGCCTGTTAAGACGACTTTTCCTGATTGAAATATTAGTGCCGCCGTTGTTTTATTGCCTTTGTGTCTTAGTCGCATAATTATCGAATGGAATCTTTTAGGATTATATTCAGTGTTAATTCCAAATCTTGCAAGCTTTAAATAATTTTCTGAAGAAAATTTAACGTTGTTCTTAAAGAGTTTAAATACAACTGTACAATTATAGATTTGCATAATATTTACTTACTAAAAAAATAAAGACAATTTAATTGTGAATTAAAAAATTAAAATACAATTTATATGTGGTTTTCAACTTAAAAAAAATTTTTTTTATTTATTTAATAACATCCTCCTTTCATCTTGTTTCGGATTACACAAAGGACTTCAAGAGGGTAAAATGATCGATGATGTCCTCCACCAAACTCGATAATACATGGTAGATATGGATGACACAGTTTGAAATTATGCTTTACATAATAATATCCGCGGACCTAAAATAAAGAAATGATATTAGTTTTTTTGATTATAAGCTTACAGTTATGCCCAAATAACCACTCATTGCTGGAACAATACTTGCTGATTGCACTGTAAGATCATGACAATGTACAATAAAGTTGCGACACGTTGGTTTTAGATGAGATGTCCGTAACTGCACACTTTGGCGTAAATGTTCAATAATTTCACGTCGAGCATCAAGATTATGGAATAATACATGTAGTTCCTTGAACGAACAATTTCGAAGCTGACAAAGGTACTCAATTAATGGAACAGGCAAATTTGTCTTCGAACGTAATGATGTAGATATAGTTGGCCTTTTAGGTTGAAAATCTTCAGTTTGTTTTATTGCCGTTGGTGGCGTAGGCTCACGAAAAGGATTTTCTGGTTCAGCAGTCCAATCCAAAGGTTTATCGTCTTGAGTAATTCGTAGGATTTTTTCGCTTGTATCTATATTACTTTCATCCATTTGTTCCTCATCCATTTTATCTTCTACTATGTCATCCATAATTGTAAGTAATCCAAAAGCCGGGGTAATAACATCAACACCTTTCTAAAATTTAAATTTTAAAAATCCAAGTATTTAATTTATTTTACCTTTTCTTTCTCTTCAGCTTCATCTCCAGAGTCTTCAACTACTACTAATGCTGGCTGGTCCGTTTGGGATTCGCTTGATGTATTTTGTTGTTCTGGTTCAGGGTCGTCTTCGAGAACCCCCCAGACCATAAGAGTGAGAAGAAATTCCATTACATTCATTTTGTTAATTTTGAATTTTCTAAATCTATATATACTTATTTATAAAAATTAAATTCAATTTTAAAATGTCAGGATTTGAAAAATTTGATTTAATACATTCAAGATTCAAACACCCATTTACAATGATTGTATCGGGAAGTACAGGATCTGGTAAATCAGAATGGGTTAAAAAGTTTCTGGAAAACGTGTCAGAAATGATTCCAGATGAAAATGAAGGAAAACATCAAATTGATTTGGTTCTATATTGTTATGGAGAGTTAAATAAAAATATTATAAGAATGCAAAGAATGGGGTTTGTTAATAAGGGTAAGACAAGTGTTATAGTTCATAATGGTCTGCCAGTAGGAGGTGAGGAATTTATACGTGAAAGGGCCATTCAATCAAATGGAAAAATGTTGCTTGTACTCGATGACTTAATGGTTGGGATGAATCAAAATCTATTAGATACAATATTTACGAAAGGATCTCATAATTGGAAAATGAGTGTTATTTTAATAACACAGCATTTATTTAGCAAAGAATTGAAAATAGCTCGTAATAATTCACACTATTTGCTGTTAATGCGAAATCCTGCTGGAGCCTTACAGATAAGAACGCTTGCTTCCCATTTGTTTCCTTCACGCTCAAAATATTTCTTAGAGGCGTATTCGGATGCTACTAAAGACAATTTTGGATATCTTTTAGTTGATATACATCCCAGCACACCTGAGTTGTTAAGACTTAGAACACATATATATCGTGATGATGAGAGTAAAACAATAGTTTATATTCCAAAATGAGGAAAAAATTTTATACTAGCGATCTAATACAGCGAAATTCAAATTTTTTGCGTTCGATTTTTGATTGTTCGAAGTCGAATAATGTATTAAAGAATTTATTAAATAAGGCTTCAGATGAACAATTGTTATGTTTTGTGGAAATTTGTTTTAATTTATTAAAAGGACGCTTACCTTTTCATAAAAATAGAATTACAACTTTGCAAAAACATGCAAATTTGTTGCGTAAAATAAGTAGATCCAGAAGTGCCCCATCTACGAGAATTTTATTGCAAAAAGGAAATGGAATCCCTCCGGTTGCTGGTCTTCTTGCTAGCCTTATTATCCCAATAATTACTGATAAAATTTTAAAATAATATAAATAAAAAATTATTGATGAAATAATACAGTTATGAAGAATGCAAATAGAATGTTTCTAATCCCCGAAGACATTTATAAAAATATAATTGGGGGTTTCGATGAAAATCAAGAATTACTTTCAAGCGGCGATGGGACTGCTATAGGTTTGATAAAGGAACGTTTGCAAAATACTAGTGTCAATAAAGAAATATTAGATCCTACAACAAGGGCAATTCGTTATGAACAAGATTTTAAAAGATATAATAAACTTTTAAAAGAAAAGGAGGAAAAACCTATTGATGTTAAATTGAAAAATTTTGAAGAAATAGCGGATGTGGTTTCAAAAAATATTGACCACAAACCTCAATTAGCAGCAATTGCTGATCCTATTAAAAAACCACCCCGTAAAGTTATAATAAAAAAGAAACTACATAAAAGATCAGTAGGTAAAGTTGGTATAAGGAGACAATATCCTGTTCAAGATATTAAAGTTGAAACTGCTGAAAATGAGATGAAAGATAAAAGTGATGAAGAGGAAGATGAATTTTTATCGGCAGATACCGATAATGAGCCTAGTCCAAAAGAACAAGCATTGAAATATATAAGACAACATGCCGGTGAATTAGGTGTTTTGCCAAATGGAAAATTAGCGAGAAAAATAGGTAGCACAGATTCTTTCATTACAAGTAATATAGAAGATCTTATAAATCATATACTTAAAAATAAGAATAAGCGTAAAAGACCAATTCCAACTGGTTACGACGAATTTCTTCGTAGAATAAATAAACATACAGTTTTACAAAATTTACTTTTTCCGTCGAAAACTACTAATAAACAAGAAGGTGAAGGTGGTTGTTTCAAACAAGTATTTTCTTATAAACCGTCCTTATGGCAGTAGCGTTAACTACTAAAAAGATAAAAATACTTGATAAATTATATAAAAATGTTAATTCCTCAACATGTTTTACCTCTCTTGAACCGCTTTTGCTATCAGCTAGGAAAGTTGATAAAAATATTTCACGACAAGATGTCAAGGACTATCTATCAAGTCAAAGTGTCAATACTCTTCATAGAAGAGTTGTTAGAAAATATAAAAGAATGCCAACTTTAGCTCCCGGACTTCATACAGAATGGCAAGCAGATTTGAGTGTTTTTAATCGTATATGTAAACAAAATCAAGGATACAAATATTTATTAGTGTGTATAGATACACTCAGTCGTCAAATATTTGTCGAACCGGTAAAGAGTAAACATAGTGATAATATGGTAAATGCATTTAAAAAATTATTTTCTCGTACTAAAGTCATTCCATGGAAATTATTAACTGATCAAGGACTTGAATTTACTGCTAAACAAGTACAAAAATACTTCAAGTCCTTGGATATGGAACATTTCTCTATGCTTACTTCACCTCTGTGGCATGCGGGGATGGCAGAAAGAGCGAACAGGAGCATTAAAGAAAGATTATATAGGTACTTCACAGAAAATAAAACTTTAAAATGGGTGGATGTTATCCAAAAAATTGTTAGCTCAATAAATAACTCATTTAACTCCAGTATAGGTATGCGCCCAACTGATGTCAATTTTAAAAATGCTGAAAAATTAAGGCAATTACTAAAGAATAGAGCAATTGAGACACACGCCTCTTCTTCTCAATGGAGAAGGAAAAAGTTTTCAGTAGGAGATAGAGTGCGAATCGAAAAATATAAGCATATATTTCAAAAGGGCTATTTGCCAAATTTCACAAATGAAATTTTTATTATTG